GAGGCTCTCCTGTCCTGTCCTGGGGTTGGAAAGCCCCGAGCTTGCTGGGCCTCCCTTTCTGGTCTGACTGGGCGCTCTCCTGCCACGGCAGGCTCTGGGAATTGCCCTGAAGTCACCCATTCTGCAGACAGATCCTGACTCGCTTTAGCAGAGCAGACAGGGAAATTCAGAGCAGCTGGAATGTCTCAGGAGAGGTTCTCGCTCCTGCTTTCCCCTTGGGGTGCCCCCCTGTAGACAGACGTGTCTCCCCGAGGAGTCTGCCTTCCTGTGCTGTGCTGCTCCCCCAGCTCGGGCTCTGCTTCCCTCCTGGGGGGTGGAGCAGCAGTTCCAGCACAGGAATGCTGCCCCAGGCAAGCAACAAAGCATTTTTTGGCACAATAACAGTTATTTGGATACCAGCACAGCATGTCAGTAGTCTCACATTTGCTTGACACAGCACATATTCTCTGTATTCCTCTATTAATTTTTATTTTATAAGGCAAACTCTTATTTTGGGGACTGGGGAGGAAGAGGGGCACACAAGAAAGGTCTGTGAGAGTCGTCAGGGGAGCGACCCGCAACACAGCTGGGAGCAGAACCCAGACAGGGTTGTGGTTCCCCACAAGGACTCAGGAGATCTGATTGCTGAAACGTCTTCTTCCACTTGTTCAGTGTCTCTGCAGGGCATGTTGTCTTTATTCTGGAGAGCCAAAGCTGTGCAGGATCTGCTCAGACCCCGAGAGGATGAACAGCAGCCTGCAGGAGACCAGGCCTCAGGAGGTTCTGTTGTTAAGGTGGGCTTAGGTCTGGGGGCTGGATGGAAACTCAGAGTCGTGTCTGTACAGCTACACAAATAAGATACTGCTGACAGGAAATGCATTTGCCTGCCTCCGTGCAAGGACATGAAGTAATACCTTGTGTTTCTTTACCACCTGAGGAAATATTGCTGAGACTGGTTGTCTCCTTGCACCCCTCTGGCCAAGTAAAAATTCCCAGGGACTGTCTGGCCTGGCACACTGAGCCACTGGCTCCTCTCAGCCGTGTCTCAGCTCTGCAGATGCCTTACATAAACATTCCCTCTGCTTTATGATCTAGTCTGGCAGCTCATTAATTATTTTTTTGTGAGTTTTTATGACAATTAAAAACGAGCTCTAGAATGAATCCCTGTTTTCTGAAGTCTTAACAGCCACAACATTTGAGCGGTGTCCTTTAGTGAAGCTGCAAATAGAGACACAGGAATAATGACACGACTCTTATCTGCTGTAGGAAATGCTGATTTCTCTTTCTGATACCCAGCGAGCAGGTCTTGGCAAGAAGCTGCTGTTCTCAGGCTGATTTGGGCCCCCCAGGGAGCCTGAGGGGTTCCCGTGCAGGGAAGCTGAGGGGGTTTGTTCAGTGCGTGTTCCTGATGTTCCTTCTGTGGGGATCAATCCTGTGCTTGGGCACCTGAACCAGCTCGTTCTTTGAGCTCTTCTCACGGAAGCAAACACCTGAGCCAAGTGGCACGTTTCACTTCCTAAGTGTGCTCTCCTTTGATGTTAATTCCCTCTGACTAATTGCAGATGGGATCAGAACCAGGGCTGCAAATTCGCCGCCTGCTGTTTACGTTATTTTCCACGCTGATAATTCTCAAATGAGCATGGGAACAACTCTCCCTCTCAGGCTGAGCAGCAAACCTGCAGAGCATCTCAGGCCTCAGCCCTAAGCAGACCAGCACAGAGATGTGCAGCCCTCCAGTTCTGCTCTGTGCTATCCACATAGCAGAGAGGGCTCGTGCTGCCCCTGCGTTGGTACCGGCAGCTTCCCGCACGCCGGGGCTTGTCTGGGAGGGGGTCAAAGCAGTGAGGAACTCTCAGTTGCATCTTCCTTTTACATTCAAATGCGTTAGAACGTAAAATTGTGTTGGAATTATTTTTAGCAGCGTGATCTCATGCTCTGTCATGCCTTGTGGGGTTTTTTTTGAGTGCATTTCCCCTGCTCCCCTTACCCTGCCTCGGTGGTTCTCTCCCAGATCAGCTGCTGGTTGGGAAGAGGTGGGAGAGGACAGGAGGGAAAGGATTGTCCTTTACCTCAGTGGGCTTGTGTGCTCTCCATGGCTGGGGTGCAGGGTGAAAGAGCTCTGAGCACGTTGCTTCCTGTGCAAGGGGAGGTGCAGGCTGAGGGGTATGGAGAGCCAGACGCAGATTTTGTGGTTTGGAGGGGAGCAGTTGGTGTTGGTGGCACCCCGAGGCGCTGTGGCCGCTCCGTCAGAGCCGTTGTGCTTCCCCCTCGTGCTGGGCACTTCCTCCTGCGTGGGGAAGTGGAATCCTTTGTGTTCTGCAAGCCAGCTGTTGTTGTACTCTCACCTTTCCCTCTCATCTGAGAGGCACAGCAGTGGGTTGTGCAGGGAGGCCGGGCAGGGTGGTTTCTCTCTGGGCCACAAGCTGGCCCCGTGGGTGCCCTGGGAGCCCATTCTGGCAGCAGACCTCTGGCCTCAGCTCCTGGTGCTTGGGGTGCACCCGGGCGGGTGGCCCCTCTGGCAGTCCAGAACTGGGGTGGGCACTGAGCACGGCCTACAGCTCTGCAGATTGTGCAGCAGGTGCGTTGAGTGTGGCCAAGGAGAACCTTTGGTCAGGGGAGGGTCCCCAGGCTCGTTACCACTTATTGCTAGGTGCTTAAGGAGAACGTTGGTCCAGCTTTCCAGGCAAGTAAAAGCACTGTAGGGCAATGAAGATGTGAAGTCTG